TAATCATTCTTTATTTTGTAAAATTGTGTTGATATAAATATTGAAAATCTACACACATTTTGTATTATACAATCTATACACATAAAAACACATATTATACAATCTATACACATAGAAAATCTATACACGGAGGAAAAATTGCATAAATAAACTTTTTAAAAAAATGACTTTAAATATTAAATAATTAAAAGAATTATTCGCAAACTCAAATTCTTATAACAAAAATTTATTTAGACACAAATAAACATTTACACATAAAATTCTTTCTGATTAGAATTTTATCCACAATAAGTTTTGACGTGCTTCCATTGGAAACAAGTTGTACATAATGTCTAAACACTTTCTGAATAAGGAGAAAAATTTTTGATGTATTTTGTTATCTGACTTAAAAATATTTTGTTATCTGACTCAAAAATATTCGAGCTCATACCATATTTGAGCATCAAAGTTAATTTCTAGAACTTTGATAATTCTGTTTATAGTTTGACCACTTGTTTTACTATTTCGAATTTCAAATAACCTCTGCATAAATTTTAAATGGAGAAATTTCTTTTGCATGTCCATTTTGAGTATGTCTAATACTAAAGTTGATCTGATTTTTGGATCAATAAATAGTCCTAATAAATCTAGCATAATTGCATTTTTCTAATTAGCTCATTAACAATCTTTGGAAACACTTTAAATTCCTTTTCAAACACTTTAAATTCCTGATGGTTTTCTTTCAGGTTCCAATATCTAAAAGAAAATTTGTAAATTTAATCTAAAAAGTTAAATTTGTTTATTAACTTTCATTCATGAAAACTTATATTCATATATATGTATAAATATATATATATATATATATATATATATATATATATATATATATATATATATATATATATATATATATATATATATATATATATATATATATATAAAGATATAGTTTAAAAAACGAATAATGAATAAAGAATCGGAAAACTCGAGTAGGACCAGGATGCCACCGAGAAACCGCTCAAGCTAAAATAGAATGATTTGGATGATCATAACGTTAATGTTTAAATGTGTATCTTCTTAATGTTTTTTTAAAAATATTCCATCGATGAGATCTCAGCCTCTAAAAAAACACATTTGTAAAATCTTATATTAAAAATTTTTCAAACTGCCAGCTTTTCTTTGCTTTTCGGAGTCCACGGCGTTTGCGGTAATCAATCGAACATACTTTGACTTACTTTGTAAAACAAAACATTTTTTCAAGGAGAGTTTATTGACTCTATAAAAAAAATAATTAGCTACTCCAATTTTCCCCATTTTGATAAAATTAAACTTTTTTTTAAGTTTTTTTTTTATTATTGTAATATCATCTTTTGACTTCTTGAAAAAACTTTTACATAATTAAAATAACAGTAGGATTAAATAACGCGACATTTCTTAGATAAGGCGCTTTTTCAAAGTTAATTTGCTCGTTTGCATTTTTAAATATCCATTTTGCGATCGTTTTAAATAAGCAATAATTTTAAATTTAATAATATAACAATAAAACTGTTAAAAAGCAGTCATTAAAACTACAATTAAAAGCAGCGCTATTTTTGGGAATGATTGCCTCCATTATCAACATATTTTATAAGTTTGTCTAATAGTTTACATTCAGTTTAAATTAGTCAATTTCAAATAAACGAATAAAATTTCATTTTAAAGAATTGAAAACCCCGCCAGACAAAACGTCCGATGACTTTGTAAATTGATCGGACAATCTGAGGTTTTACCCGGACAATGTCTAATGTCCGACTGTTAAATTTAGCCCTGATATATATGATAAAATGATGCTAATATTATTAGCATCATAAAATGATGCTAATATTATTAGCATCATTTTTATTATTATTAAAGTATTATTAATAATAATTATAATGCAAGTAGAAGTAAATAAAAATAATAGTTGTAATAACAGCAATTAAAAGTAAAAGTAAAGATTATAAAAAGTATACACTATACTACTTTAATAATAATAATAACAAAAATAACAGTAAAAATAACAACAAAAATAATAATAACAATAATAACAACAACAGTAATATAACAAAAACAGTAATATAAAAAAAAATTATGACAATATTAACAACAGTAAGAATCATAATATTTATAATGATAAAATTATAGTAATAATAATATTAATAATTATAGTGAAGAGAAAATACTTCAGTTTAAGAAAGATTAAAATAATATTATATGAAGAGAAAATACTTCAGTTTAAGAAAGATTAAAATAATAAATAACTGGTTATTTATACTTTATAACGTTCATATTTTTAGAAAAATATTGCTTTTAAATATTATACTTTTCTTTAACTTATTTTTTATAACCCTAACTCTGAGCTTTTATTTACCTTTTCTGTTGTGTTTTAATATTTTTTGTTAAATTTAATAAGTTTAACAAAAAATATTAAATCACAACAGAAAAGAAAAAAAATAGATAAATAGAAGCTCAGAATGAGGGTTATAAATAATAAGTTAAATGAAAGTATAAAATTTATAAGCAATGTTTTTCTAAAAAGTAGTTAATGAGAGCAGTTTTAAATTTTGAAAATGACTTACATTTCTTGCATGACAAATTCAGTAACAAAATATTAACAAAGAAATTGCTCGAAATTAAAATTTACCAAGAAATAAGCACTTAATTAAAACGAATGAATTTGTATCAAGTTTTCAACTCAAGGTAAGTACTTTGAAAAGTTCTAAACCACAGGTTTCTACAACTAAACATTCATATCTCTGGATCTTCAACAAAAATTTCCGTTGGTCGCTACTCCGGAACATTTATCGACTGTAAACGTTTCGGCTGTAGAAATTTATCGACGGTAACTTTTAAAAAAAAATTCATAACATTGAAACAAATCATTTACGCCGATAAAATTTACAGCCGGTAGCATTTTACGCCGATAAAAAGTTTTATAACATTGACCCCAGGTCTCGCATTTTCTTAAGACGACTCTGATCTCAACATTTCCTAAAGAATGCGTTTGGTTTGTTGGCGATTTTTCATAGGATAATTAAGAAGATAAACAGTTCTTCTAGGACTAATAGAGCAGTTGTATTTTCTATTCGCACCTTAAATTTATTTTCGTTTTAGAACATTCCATGTTAAAAACAAATAAAAATTGATATTGAGAACACTTCTGCACTTTAGAGTTAAAAATATTTTACAAGTAAATCTATAAGACAAATTTATAAACATTCTTAAACTTATCTAATAAATCTTTCTATATGATTTTAAATATAATGCTTTTTTATAACAATTATTACAAAAGCGTAATAAAAATACAGAAAAAAGTTGTTATATCCAAATTTTAAAAATATACATCCTGTAATTGTCGATTAGATGAACCATAACATATAAGTATTTTCTTTTTATATAGACCAAATCCCAAACAAAAGGGTATAGTCTTTTTTTTTCTTTTTTTTTTTGTGACACCCTAGTGCAGTACACAATATCAACTTTTATTCGTTTTTAACATGAAATAATCAAAAATGAAAACAAAGCAATTCAATTGCTGAGCGTAAAACTTAACCTCCCTTTAATATAATTGTTATGCAGGCATCACATGTATGAGGTGCATATGTCTCACTACATGGATGTTCTTACAGGAGATACAAAAGGTGATTTTTTTAACGACAATATTTCAACGGAATAATTGAAGTAATAAAATGAAACAAAAGATAGATTACCAAGAAGTTATCAATCCACAAAAATTGCGTTGTGTTTTATTATAAATAATGAAATATTACTAAATATTTATTACTAATAATTTAGTATCAACAAAAGCATAACAGAAACAAACAAAATTAAAAAGTTAAAGAAATGTAGTAAAAAAGTTAAAGAAATGTAGTACAGACTTAAAATAATTTTCTGATTCAAACAATTAAATTATTTTCAAAATATGTATTTGAAATCTAATATACCAAAGTACATACTTAGTAAATGCCGTTTTGAATCAGCCTTAAAACTTTCCATTGTGCAGTTTAAGACGAATTCTAGTTTACCATTAAAAATACAAAGAAAATTTTTCCAAACAAAATATTCACGATATTGAATTTGGTAAGAATTTATTTTAAGATGGGTTATGGGAATAAAAAAGTTATTTTACGAAAATTTAGTAGGATAATTATGAGAAACTTCATTAAAGTAAGATTGAAATGTTAATGGCGATAAACCACGCTTAGCTTTAAACATAAATAGCAACACTTGATGAATGTTAAGTTTATAAATATTTTTAACTCCAAGTTTACGCAAGAGAGGCTCGCAATATGCATTCCTGTTTGCCTCAAATTTTATCCTACAATAATGTTTTTGTTATCGGTCACTAGTTAGTAGCTAACCATCCGCGTGGTCAACTCGCTCTTTATTATTACGAGTTATCGCAAGATTATATGGCTAGCTATTCGCTAGCTTATCTGGCTAGCGATACTTGTGACCAAAATGCTTTCTTTGTCGTTACGAGTTGTCGTTAGCTAGTTATAAGTTTATAAGCTAGCTAGTCGCTAGCTTATATAGGTAACTAGTCGCTTGTTTATATAACTTACTTGTCGCTAGCTAATCGCTATTTTATGTAGCTAGCTTAAATAGCTACCAATTCGCTAACTTCTTTAGTCAGTGATCCTCGTGGACAAATCGCTGTCTTTTTCGTTACGAATGTCGCTAGCTAGTTGTTAGCCGATTTCCCAGAGGACATAATGTTTTTTCAAAGTTCATTTCAAAAGTTGAATTCCTCATAAAGTTTCATTTAAAAAAATGAAACTTAATGAGGAATTTGACTGTTTTAGCCGTTCTGATATTATTCATTTTTTTGTATGTCTCTTTAATAGTTTCCTCCTCGAGTTATTGTACACCCTTTTATTATTAAAACTGCTATATATGTATATTTATATTTTTGTCGTACCCCTTTGCATTTAAAATAAAAAACCGTTATCGCAATATTTTTATATTTTGTAAAACCTATCATAATTTCATTGGTCAGTTGCTTCCTACCGCCAAACCTTTAAAAAAGATATGTTCCTAACCGTTTCTATTTTCTTATTGTCCATTTAAAAAAATGGCGTCTTTTGACGCTAAGTATGAATTTAATGCACCTAAATATATTGATTTTCTCCAAGGAGATATTGACGAAGATGCTGATAAATGGTTTGGTATGTCCTATTTGATCTAATAACTGTATGATATATATGCAAACATTACCCATTCGTTTCTAAAAACAAAGGATAATGACCATATGGCGAGCTAAATGTTTTTCAAAACTGATTTGGTTATAAAATTGTCTTTAATGTTTTACAAAATTAAAAAATGTTTCTACATTTTTAATTATTACTACAGTTTTACCTTAGTTGTAAATTTTAATTCTTTTTTAATAGATTATATATATTACTAAATGTGATCAATAAAAGTTATTTATAACTATTGCAGGATAAGTGTTTACTAAAATCTAAACAACTTTTTGCATATACTAGGTAAATAACTGTTTCTGTAATTGTAAACATAATTAATAAGAAATTTTTTAATATAAGTCTTGCGAGTTCATTTCAAAGGCTTACATTTTGTAATTTTGTGGCAAATAAAGTTATCTAGGGGCTACTCGACTTTCCCCCTGTTTTAATGATTGGTTATGAATGAGTTATACTGATTCAAAATCGTGTAAAAACATAGGTCTGAAAATTTGACGAAAGTACTCTAACTTGGTGTTAAAGTTTAAAAATTTATACTATAAACAGTAATATTTGCAATCTCTTTAAAAACGTTCTAACACTGATTTTATTTAAAAATCAGGTAATGTTGCAGAATAGAGATGTTAAATCATTTTATTTTTTTGCTTGTTGCGCTTATATATGCATCATAAGTGAGAAGTTTCGAATTTGATCCCCACTATCTCCCTGGAAATACTGCGCTAAACTTGTTTCTCCATGCAACGGCCTTGTTTGTTAAGGTTCATGTTTTGGAATTTAATGAAACTTGCAAATGACCATGACCAAGTTGTTTAAATAAAAAAAAATTTTATGGACAAACAAGATGAAAAACCGCACGTGTCTTCTAGGAAGGCTTGTACAATAATTTGCTTTATTTACATTATTTTATCATGAGTACATACTCTGCTACAAAAAATTAGGTGTCTGCTACATAATTTTTTTTAATAAAGTTTAACATGAACATAAAAAATGTATTTTTAAACCAGGCCCAGTAGATATAAAAAAAGCCCTAACACACCTTCAATATCAATTTTATATCTGATCATCAATCAAGTTTAGTTAAGTAAATTCAGTATTAACAGTGATAACTACAAAAAAACAACAACGCAAAAAGGAAGTTTGAATAATCTTCCATCCATAAAATAAGTTCATAGCTGTTCATAAACTTAAGAATTATGTTCATATGAAATTTTAAAAAATAACACGATAAAATATATTTTTTAACACATGCTTGTGGTATGTTGTAAAATACATTTTACAGCACATATGTCAATTTATGATAAAATGATAGAATATTTTGATTGAAAAATTGTTGTTGTAAATTAACTGACATGCACATACCTACTTGTCTACTGTAGCCACTTCAAAGAAATTTATTTTGTTTACTGATTTAAATATGGCTAGCATTAATGTATAGAACTTTAGAAGGCAATAAAAATTGAGGTCAATCAGCTTCAGAAGTTAATCAGTTCTAAATTTATTGAAAATTGATGATATTTTGACAAAAGACATAGTAACTTTGTATTAAAAATTGGATGTGTTATAGTACAGAGTAAAAGAATATTTTTGGGTCATTTTAATTTTTAAATAACTTTAAAATCATTATTACATTTAGTTAGACATTTTCTACAGTGCACAGTGGTAGTTCTACAGTGCACAGTGGTTCTACAGTGCCAGGTGGCAGACAAAAGCAAAAAAAATACATTCTTGAAAATTTCTTTATTATATATCATTTTATAGCTTAAACATTCAGCTTTTATAAAATGTAAATATTTTTGTATAATTATTATATTGTATGTTTCTAAATTTTTAAATATAATTTTGAAAATATTTTTTTTGTTACTAATAAACATAAAATATTTGTTAATTTTAAAACCTCTCTTTTTATTGCACATTTAATAAAATCAAATATTATCTTTCAAATGAGCTATTGCAACACTATTTTGCTCGTAAGTTATGTCAAATAAAATGATTTTAGTTGACAGCGTATTTGAAGTACTTCATTTTAAATTTCACTTATATAATTGAATACTTTTACAGTCTAAGGTGGTCCAGTAATTTGAGACTTGAAATACATTGTTCATTATGTATATTATCATTATATAAATTTGGTTTATAATCCTCAGATGTCTGTCTGGTCGATAATAATGATTTTTACAAGTTAACTAATGTATCCAATTTTATGTGGCAAAAACATGATATGTATTTTGTTCTAAATGGTTATATAATAATTGGATTTCAGTGAGTCTAGGTTAGTTTTACAAACCTGTTTAAATCATGTTTTTATAAATTTAAAACATGAAAAAATTTGATATTTTTTGATAAATATTGATAAAACTTGAAGTTAGCTTATCATAATATGTTGAATGCAGTTGTAAATGACACAAACTTAACTGCACATAATAACTTGTCTAATTCAAAGCATCTTTGACAATGGTGGAATATGCAAAAGCTTTAAAATTTGTTTCAAATAGAATAACAAGTAATGGCTACAAAATGAAACAATATCGGTTCAATTTGTAATTGGTAATAAGAATATTCTCCTTTATTACTTAACTACCTCCATTGTTAAAGATAACTCTGCTCTTATTCAACTGTAATGTCAGACCCCAGGCCCTAGGTGACCCCAGGTGAATTATGATAATTTAAGGAATAGAACAAAGAAAAGAAGATTGATACCATTAGTTGCATCTTTTTTATCTGAACCATTCTTTTCATCTTATTTTAGTTTGCGCCAAGATGGTAAAGAAAAAGAAGCTAATGCTGCTTTACAATTAAGAGAATATACGAGTTTTTGTATGAAAAATAATTTTAAACCAAATTTTTTATATTATATACACAAAATGGTTTAAGCTTTAGATTCTTTTTTATATGGATAATGTGGTTTCATGAAATATTAAAAAGAGTCCTAGAACTGCACAAAAACACCCTAAGTTAGTAATAAAAATATGTGGTTATTTTTTTTAATGCATAAAATGATTTTCAATCAGAATGCTATAGTTAATATTAGTCTTGTTTATATAGTATATTTAATATTAGTCTTGTTTAGATAGTAACTATTTTAATTGTTACACCTGGAATACCGTTGTCAGGTATTTCAGGTATCACAATCAACCAAATAAAAAATCCTTATTACCACTATTGTTGTAGCATAATAATACTGTATGTGGTAATTATGGGAGTAATCCAATAAAGTTATTACTTTAGACCAGTTTATCTTTATTATGGTTAATAAAATATGTGGTTGTCGAACGATTTAGGTATCCATAGCAATCCATAATTAAAACTAATGTCACCTTTATAACCGCAATCCTTAAATTAATAAACAGTGCAAAAATGGTCCTTAAATCTTTTTTTTAGTTTTGTTCAGTAAAAGTGAATTATGGCCCACTATGCAGTGATTCAACAACCTTAAAAAAACTGAATGCAGTTTTTTTATATTAGTTAGGAATGTCCATAAAAGTTTTTTATACACCATTTTGAGATTATTTCATAATTTACAGATCAGTCAGTAAAGTACCACATGAAAGGCTACTCAAATTGATGATGGATTTTATAAACTTTTAAACCGTTTTTTATTACATTTTACATTTCGCTTGATCCAATTACTTTAGAAAAAAATTAAATGTTTTTTTTTTTTTTTTTTTTTTTTTTTGAAATTTGTTAGAAAGGTCCAGAACTAAACCTTTTTACAGACTAAGTTTTGATTTTAATAATTAATTAACCTCTAAGTTTCAAAATGCTTATATCTAACAACTATGTAAAAATATAAAAGAATCCATTTTTCCATTCAATTCCTTTAATCAATATGTAAAATTTCATACAAAATTTTTTTTCTAGTTCCTTACCATAAAAAACTTTATTGAAATAACATGCTCACATAAAGTTTTATACTAGTAGTGGTCTCAAGATATAACTAATATATATGTAAAGCTGCATAAAGAAAACTACTTTCCACGTATGGTCGGAAAGCAGTTGAAAAAATTGAAGAAAAAAAATCTCAAGGTGCTTGCATAACCAAAAAAAAAAAAAAAAACTTAAGACAGTAAAGACAATGAAAGTTGTGTGTTTTTTTGTCTTTTTGTTTTTTTTATTGTAATGTGGAAGTGCTATCTACTGAAGTATAAATCTACCTACTATCTACTGAAGTATTTACCCACTCCTTCAGTGGCAGAAGTTGGTTCTCCTTGGACTATTTCTAAGACCTGAGAAAAGGTCTTTTTTTTTTTAAAAAAAAAAGTTATTTAAACTATAACATTTCTTTAGTAGAAATTTGTAGATTTTTTTTCATTTAGATACAAGAGATGGTGATGAAGGAGGTATAGATATTGATATGGTCCCATATTACGAACAAAATATCGGTTTTAAAAATGCCACAAATGCAATTTCTGCTGCTTTAGCAGATAACATGAAAGAGATTCAACAAGTAAAAACTTATTCATTGATTACTAATGACAATGAGACCAGCAATAATGTTGAGATAGCAGAAAATCTAGCAAATAAAGAAAACATTGTTCCAGATGTTGTCATGCCCAAAGAATGTGCTATCATAAACAAAGATAGTGTTAAATTTGATAATTCAAAAAATGAGAATTTTTTAATGTTAAAGGTTGAACAGCAAAGCTTAAATAGTAGTAGTGTTAATGAAACTTTAGTTCAAAAATCAAATATTAGAACATCATGGAATAGTCCAGATGTCACAAGAGAAGACATTAGAAAGGTGCAGCCTCCAAGATCAGCCAAGAAAAGGTAAATAAATAATTTAGGATTTTATTATTTTTTTATAGACTATCAAACATTTAGAACATTAAAATGATGATTAACAAAAATTTAGCTATTGTGATTAACAAAATTTATATTAATTTATCTTTTATTGTGATTTAAAAAAACTAATTAAAACAATACCAAATAATATATGTTTAATATTTTAGCATTAATTATGATGTGTCAAAAAAGCGAAAAACTGTGTCGACAACTGACCCTACTGTTAATAAGAAGTCTAGAATTGAATCAAAACCAGTAATTATGCCAGAAACACCTTCATTTATCAGGTAAAGAATTAGGTATCAGATAAACAAGTATTTATAACATTACTATTTTTTATATAGTTAAGCAAATTTATTTTTTTATCAGTTAATGTTATATAATATATTTATTATGTATTATCAGGGGCTATTCTAGGAAAATAATTTGTGTAGCGATACTCTTTGTTCCGGCAACTGCCATAAGGAAATTTAGTGAAAAAAGGTCCTTAATTTCTGAGTTTGGGGGCGCCCAAACTCAGAAATTAAGGAGGCATTTGGCAATGCTAAAATTATATTTCTTTTATAATTATAATTAATATATTAAATATACATTACACTATAACTTCATGTGTATAATTTCATATTACATATATGACTTTGAGCAAAATAATTATTAAAAAAACAGTTATAACCATCACAAAAAAAAAGAAAAGGTTTATGACAGAATATTATTAGTTTTTTTTTCATAATGACATTTTCATAAGTAACTGATTTTTTATTTAAAAAAATGATGGCACTTTTTTGTTGCTGTTGCAATAACAGTGTGGTCACTAGGAAATCAAGGAAATGTCATGGAATTTTATTTGGTCATGAAAAAAAGTGATGAAATTCTAAAGATTTCATTGAAAGTCATGAAAAATTAATGTAACTTTAATTATGGAAAAATAATGGAACAAATATTTATTTTTTTCTACTTGTGATAGTTTTGAGATATTTGTAAAGAAAAGTATTAGTATTTCTAGTCCTTTTTGAAAATGATTTTTTTACAGTGTAAGTAATAGATTATCATTTTATTGCAATCAGTCAGGTCAGATCACTCTTTTCAGAAGATAGTTTAAATTTTGGAATTTATCAAAATGAGATATCAGTTGAATAACTAAAATACATTTTTAAAATTTTGTTTGGGTTGATATCAATCAATCAATTATGGTCAGGTCAGGTCACCTTTCTACTGGTAACATGTAATCCAGTACAACCTGTTTCATAGGATTAACTTATAGCTTATAAGGACTCCACAGTAAAGACAACTTACCTAAAAAAAAGTAAAACTAATATAAACTTCTTAATTTAGTTCTGGATAAGGTTAGGAGGAGTTCATAAACTATGGATTGTTATCCTTCCTAAATCACAATAAAAATAATCATTCCTGATCTCCGAAACTGATTAACAGCATGGTAGGGATTCGATTTTTTCTTATAATAAAATATTTTATATTGATTGTTGTCATGGAACTTTAGGATTTCTTCATTGATGACAAGTTTATTTTAAAATGAGAATAAGTACATTTTTGAATATTGACAAGTACATTTATAATTTTAATATTAATTTTATCTTTAATTTAAGAACTTTAATGAAAAAATATATTAGTGAAGAAACATGAGATCTAGAACATTTGGACAAGATTACAGGCTTAATCATTGAGATAAAGTTATTTGCATACAAAGTATATACAATTTTGTTGTTAAATAAATGTTACTTTTGTATGGCCACTTGTGTGTGATTTTTACTTGTTACTTTATATGGCCACTTATGTGTGATTTTTACATGTTACTTTTGTATGACCACTTATCTGTGATTTTTACATGTTACTTTTGTATGGTCACACTTATGTGTGACCATACAAAATTATTATTATTATTATTATTTTGCAGTTTTGTTAGAAATGTTTTCTGCCATTCTCTAAAGCCATGATTTAAAGCCTCATTTTGGAATGAATGTTTGGGATCAAGTAAAATAAATTGTGATAAAAACACTTTGGAAAAACCCTATTAAGAACATGCCAATTGCAATAAATGAATGTCAATAGTAGCAAAAGTGAAAGTTAATGATTTATGTGATTATGAATTTAATTCTTTAATGTTCAAAAGAAGTTGTGTATAAATATATTAAGTTTATTATTGAGTAAACTTTGAATTAATAATATAAAAATGTCTAAGAAAAATTGCAGTTTCAATAGTGAGTGCCTAAAAGATTATATATTTTCAAATTGGATATCTGCAGATAAAACTGTACTGAGTGCTAGATGTTTGCATGTGTAGTTTTAGTTTGAGTATAATAGGAATTGGAGTAGTAATGAGTCATGGGTTGGGTAAGAAACATCTGAGAAAGACAGAAAAAACTAAAAGCAATGGTATCTTTTATGACAAACAATCTTTTATAATAGAAAAATGTTTTCATTTGAAGCACCTCCAAAGTTTCCAAAATCTATTGAATTGTTCATTATTCTTGCCTGCACTTGTAATGCCAAAATACTGCGGACTTTAAAGGTTGTTGTGTCACACTATTCACTTAGATTATGTACTTATTTAAGTGTGTTGTTTAAAGTTATGTTGACAGATAGCAAAATTGTTAAAGGTTTTTCATTAAGTAGAACAAAATGTGGCTATTTAACAAACTTTGGAATGTATCCTTATTTTAGAAATGTATTAACTAAGGAAGTTCAGCTATCACCATTTTTTGTTGTCTTCTATGATGAGTTTATGAATTGTATACTTCAAGAGGGACAGATGGATATGAAATAAAAAATATTTCATGATTCAACTGCTAGAAGCAGGTGAATCATGAAAAAAAAGTCTATATAAAAAAAAACTGTTGTGATAAGTTTCCATTGAGGTAATACTATTGTAAAAACATTTTTCAGGTTTTTAAATGTCTTTACAGTATATATGGCTTTCAGCCTACCACTTTCTGTTAAAACTCTTTAACTTTTATGGCATTGCATATGGCATGAACTATTGTTATATTACATATGGCATAAACAAGTTTTACTTAAGGAAAGAAGATGCTCGAGATTATATGAGAAACAGCGTAAAAGGGGAAGGCTAAAGCTTGATGATGATGATCATCATCATCATGATCATGATAATGTTGATTATATTTTCAACCCCTGTCATTTACTATTTGTTTGATGTTATATGTTATTGGAAAACATATTCAGTCTTCTCCGTTTGAAATTTACCGCCAGCGCATTAAAAAGCGCTGGTCTGACAGTAATTATTTGTCTGGCGTGCGCAATTTTAAAAAATATTTGTTTTTTGTACCTCTTTAATTAGAATTTGATTGAGAAAAATATTTGTTGCAATTTAAAAACATGCTTGAATTTTTTGGCGAGCGCTTAAAAAAGCGCCAGTCGTAGTATTAGCGGGCGTGTGGGCAAGCGCAAAACTGCTAGGGCGCGAAAGTGCTTGTCAAACAGAGAAGACTGCATATTATTATATGTTATTTGATAACATATGTTATTATATGTTGTTTAATACGTGTATTTTATAATCAAAGCGAATATACCTAAACCTTTCAAGATTAAGATAGCTTGTTTAAATTAACAAATAAAACCTGTTTATGGTTTTATTGAAATTAAGCTAATTATCAGTAAAATAATTAATTCCCAGAATTTTGGAATTTCTCTGACTTGAATTTTATAGTGTCATTTATTATTTTTTAGAGTTAAGTTGTTTAGTCTTTTAATAACTAACATCAGAATAATGGTTTATTTAATAATGAATGACTTTGTGGAACATTTCTTATATTTTTTTAAAAAATTAACAGAAAATTAATTATTTACCACTTAATGCTTTTAGGTTTTTTTTTTTTTTTTTTTTTTTTCTTTTGAGTGCTCATACTTATTCAGTGGTACCAAAGCAGGTTTAAGGTCATCCCATGATAAAAATAATGACTTCACAATATTATTAACCACAGGTCTTTGTAGAACTTTTTTATGTATAACAGTGTAAGTGTGAATTTGCTTATAATACACATAACGCATTTTTATCTATTTATAGAAAACTTCGTGAACGTGGCACTAAAAAGGATTTACAAACTTCTGAGGCTTTAAATATTCAAAAAATGAGAGAACTTCAGAAACAAACTAAAGCAAAAATTAGGCGGAATGATAAGCAACTTAAAAATGTACTCGGAGCTAGTTCATATCTTCCTAGTAGATCAACATGCCCTGTTACAAAACCCAAAGAATTTCATTTTGCTACTGATGATAGAATTAAAGAGCACACTATGCAAACTAGATCAGACACTATATGTAAACCATTTGAAAGTCAATTAAGGCAGCATCCACCTTCACCGGTGAGTAATATTTGTACTGTAATTAACTTAATTGTAATTTTTTCATTATTATTGTCACTTGTTACATGTAATTATTATCAATGTCTACATATACTCCTTGTCATCACAAAAATTTCATTGTCTTTATTTTGCCATAATTATTATTCATAAATTTGTAATTTTTTGATTTATATTTGCAATTAATTTAATTTTTACAACTTGTTTAATTTAGTTTTGTTTAATTTTAAAATTTTTAATTTTAGCCATTTAAAAAAGAAGTTACCAAGCCACAACCTTTTAACTTTTCAACCCAATCTTCTAAAGTTGCAGGTCCAGTCAAAGCTGAGTGGGAATCAATGGCACATCTGGCTTTAAAGTTTCAAACAAAGACTCCTGAGAGGTAAACATTTTTTTTATAAGTTACATCTAAAAAGTTAAGAATTAATTATATGTTCTTTATATTAAAATATATTTGCAAATAAAAAATTTATATGTATGATTTTTATGCAACATTAGAGGTTGACATCATGACATCATTAGCCTTGCAATTATATATTTTTTAAACGGTTTTAAATAAAGCTACAAATTTTACAGTTTTATACTAGTTAACTTTTTTTTTAGAGCTATAGTTTTTAATTATTGTTTTTTAATTTCTCCTGTGTTAAAATTTCCTTCCTTTTTTTAAAGTTAAGTTAGTTTATAATTTTCTTACTTAAATCAGTTTTTTTCAGTACTTTTTTGAAGTGTTATAATGCCACAAAATCAAGCTTTCATATTCATGGTCAGGTATCAAGTGCGATCGCATGCCTTCTGCCACTGTTGTACATGTTTACTTTAATTGTTATACATTGTTAGAAAATCACTTTCATTGTTCAACATTGCAAGAATATTTTCATAATAGTTGAAGTATTGATTGCGTTAAATTACTTGATCTATATCTTTGTTGGAGATACCAAAACTTAATCCAAAATTGAGTTTTGGCTACTGGAACTATAGCAGATCTTAACTTTGTTGTGGAAAACAATGTAACACAGATTGACATCTATGTCAGCCTACTAGATAAAGGCTTTTTACAATGCAGTAGCTTGATATTAATATCTGCCCAAGATAAGTATTTTTAAATATTTTACTGTTAACTTTTTTAATCACTTGCTGCTAATTTGTGTGGCCAAAATTTGGCCATACAAATTAGCAGCAAGTGATTAAAAAACTATTTAACCCATTAACAGTCCATGCCGTATTACGCTAAAAGTAGTTTCCAAATGTCCATGCCCTATTATTATGGTTTTATGCATCTCATTATATTTTCTTCTTGTTCATCAGCAATTATGTCTACTTGTCACAAAATTTATTACATAATTACAGAGCTTTTGTTTCGATAATTCACTTTTAAATGTGTTCAAAAATAATTATTAAAAAGTAAATATTTACTCACGAAAAGATAGAAAAGTATACATTTGATGAATCAATATTGAAAAGATATATTTAATGAATGATTATTGAAAATGATAATCGAAGATTAATGCTCAAAGAAGGTGTGTGGTATGTTACAAATACAAAATTCGAAAAGATTCACGATATGAATGTGTAGAATGTGATGTAGGTTTTTCTGCAGCTTCATGCTTTTTCAATTATCATACAAAAAGTGAATATTAGTGAATTTATTTTTAAAATTTTGTGTTTATGTAGTATGATTTATATATTCTTGAACTTGAATAATAACATTATTTAGTGTTTAATAATGATAATAACTTTTTTTATTCTATTAATAAAAAAACATGATGGTTTTAAAAACATTTACAGGAACATAAACAGGAACATTTAGAGACCACTTCAAATAAAAAAGCTGGACTAAAATACTACCGTATTTTTAAAAATAAAACATGGATTGTTAAAGGGTTAAAATCGTATATATTTTTTTTCAAAGGAAGGTTATCTCATTATGATCTTGGAAAAACTGAAAAAAAAAAAAAATTTGAAATGTTTGATCTTTTTAAGCAAGCTTACCAAACTGTTAAAGTAGAATATGAAGCATATAGAGTAACTATTACAATGATTTTGGTATTGGATTTTGTTTTCCTTAAAAAGACACTTTGTTAGCACTTTATGGGATTATCTTTTTCTGATTATTTCTGGAATTCTGTATATTTTTCTCAACTTTTAGTTTTTCTGAATATCTTAAATGTTTTCCATACTTACAAATTTAGGTGTATATTTTAGTAATAGCTTCTTTTTAGGCTTTTTCACTCATCACTCATACAAAACTAAAAAAAAATTAGAAAAAAAATTAGAAACAATATAGCTAAAAGCAAAATTAGAAGGAAAATATATTTCAGTTTTTTTCCGCATATTTTACTCAAACAATTTTCTGGATTTTTAAATATGGTCTGGATGATCTATGCACTTTATGATGGAGTTCATTGTAATATAAACACTTAGTGATGAGTTTATTATAATAAAAAAGTGATTGCAAACAATCGTTGTTAAAGTAGGATACAAAATATTTTTAAATTATAATTAATAAATTCATCAAGAACTCTACTTGTAAAAAAAGTTCAGTAACTAAAAAATATCAAAATGAGTTATCTTTAATATGACCTACAACACCTAGAGAATTCTTTTCACTTTACACTATTCATTCAGTTTATCACATATATTGCATTTTACAAAAATATTTTTGACGTCAAATTTTTTTTTTACAAATAAGTTTTAATTAAACAAAGCTTACAAAAAAGTGACACTAAAAATAAAACTGCGCAAAGGATTTCAGCTATTGACGTTGCTTCTGATCTATAACAATTTGTTAAAGGTCCATCGTTTTGAACATCTTTAATTATACATATTCTGTCTAGTGACTAATGATTATTACACAATCTATCTAGTTTTCCTTTATACTTAAGATAAATCGGAAAAAAAGCAGGAAAAAAGGAAGCAGATGTTCTATGCTTCATTTTATTATTAATCATCTTTCTGACACAGTTTCTAAGTAACATTTCTTTTGCAATGGATGTGCTAGTAAGAACAAAAACTAATGTTTTATTTCTTGAATTGGATGTTCACTTTCAAAAATGTTTTCAATATATCAAAAAAAAAATTCTTGTATAAAGGAATATTAAGGCTGATGTTAAAGGTTAGAGGATTGGTTAAAAATGTGGACAAGTTAAAAATGTGAATTTTTTAATGTAAATTTTTTACTATATTTTGACTGCTAAATCAATATTATCGTTTGTGCGCATGTTCAATAAAACCATTCAGAGAACTTGTTATTTATAATACACATTTTGTTTCTCTACCAATGATAAGGGAAAATACTTTTTTGGTAAAACATTGACAAAGGAAACAAAAAAAAAACTATGGGCAGTCTTTATAATTTGTATTGAGCAGTTTTACCAATAAATACCTCCAAATAATAACCTGTAAGTTCTTAAACACCTTGGTAAACTTGACGGTTGCTACAGTTGTTTGACAGTTTTTTTGTTTGTTTAATGTTTTAAAGTACTTTATATTAATAATGAACTAAATTATAGATAGTGCATAACACCATAAGCAATATAGTATGCAATTGCCTCATTCTTGCTAATTAATTTAAAGTTGAAACAAAGAGCCTGCATATAAGACCTTGAAAATAGACATAAAAAACTACAAAGCTTTAGATATTTCCAATCTTTTCTTCCATTCTAATTGGCTGTATATTTATTCCATCTGGATATATATAAATTACCATTAACTTTATAATCATTCAATCTGTATGTATATAATTTTTTCTTGGCTGTACATTCATTTCATCTTGTTTTACATTCATCTCATTTATATATCATATATATTTCAATTACTTTTAAATCTGGCTTAACTTATGTTGTTAGGATAGAGTTATATAAAGCACATTCAATGGGTTTTAAGAAGATTTAAATATTTATTATTTGATTATTAAATATATTGACAATTAGTTTTTTTTTAGATTTCGAATGAAACCGAAAAGATGTGATAATAATGGTAGCTTAGAATTGGAAAAGCCCAACCAACCTTTTCATGTTACAAATCCTAAAACACCGAACTTAGCAACAAAAACAAGAACTAGACCTGTGACTGCTATTAGTAGGCAAGAGATGGAGGAAAAAGAGGCAGAGGAAATATCAAAGTATGTAGAGTATCAAGAAGTATTTTTCAAAAAACAGATTTATTTTATTGTGGTTATTGTTAATATGATTCTTTTGATCTTAAATAATATAAATTTTAAAAATGGTTTAAATAATAACTTTATTAATATTATAAACAGTATATTAATAATACATTTGTATGAATAAATTTAAGCCTTTGAAGCCTGGTGTTAACATAAAAATACATATTTTAAATTCAGATTCAGACAAAAAGAAAAATGTCTCAAACTGAAACACTTCTCTTTTTAAAAACTGGTTTAAAACACTGATTGAGACTCTCAATTATATCTTTAAATTCTATAGATAATAAATTATAATAATAGATAATTATAATAGATTATAATAGACTAGCTGATCTGACTCATAAAAATATGGGTCTTTGTAAGTCTATTCCACACTGACCTTTTCTATACTTTTTTCCTATATATATCCTAGCTTTCTGGACCCATAAAATATGGGTCTTTACCAAACCTACCATTTCTTTATCTATCTATTCCTCACTAATCATTTCTATATTCTATATATATATTTGTTTACTTCAATATTTTTACGTATTCATTTTGAAAAATTGTTTTAAGAGCAAAAAGTTTAACATGCGCATCTTTTCCGCATACCAAGAGCTTATAAGAGGTTTAAAATAAGGTTTGTTTTTCTTCTAAATGCATATCATTGATAGCTCAGTGGTTTAGTGCACTGTCACCAGTGTCGTTTTGGGAGAGTAAAGACATCCCCTAATAAATTTAAAATATTTTTCAATCTTGCTGTTTTTATAGCAATATTTATAGCAAAGTTTTTATTATAGTTATTTAATATCTATACTAATTATAGCAACTTTATAGCAAAAAAAAATAATATAGCAAAAAAGTTTACTAATTGTTAAAATAAAATTCTAACGTTTTTTATTTTATAGATATATTATACAGGATTGTTCCATTTACTGCCTGCAAACTCAACATATTAGCAAGTTTCATACAGGAAGGTCTGGGCACTAATATTTGAGTTGTAGGGACAAAATTTAATATCGCGTTTGTTTACATTTAAAAGCTTTAATGCAGGAAGTATTATAGTACAGTAAAATAAAGATAAATATAAAAATTTATATAATTATAACTATTTATTTATTATTACTTATTATCCTTTAAAAAAAGAATAATAGTAAAGAAAATAAATAATAGTAAAGAAAACTTTCAAAATTTTATTGGGTCGTCCATAAAATACATACCCTCATAGGGGGGAGGGAGGTCTCCAAAAAGCGTATGGGGGGGGGTCATTTTGAAAGTACGTACTTCGAATTTCTAATTTTACACAATTAACCAGCTAATCAATAGAAAAGTTAAAATTCTGACTAAAGATCCTAGTTTGTCAACATAAAAAGATGTACTGTAAAGAGAGTAGAATGTATAGTTTCTCTCTATTCACACACATGCATGGGCGCCAACAAGATTTTTTGATGTTCCAGATAAACCCCTTCCACACATTGTGCAAACTACAAACTTAAGTATGTTTATACCTATGCCATTTAAAGAGGCCCTGCAAAAAATTGTTATGGCGGTAGTCTGGGAACAAAAAAGCCCTCAAATGCTTGTATCCCCTCCCCTGCCCAAACGTGAGGGCACTAATGTAGTAAAATTTTCCGATCCCCCGACTCACAATCGATGTAAATGACATTTACATCGACATTTTGTAATTTACAATATTTTTCAACGAAATTTAAATTCTGTCGATAAATTTGAATTTAATTTTGGATCGTTAAGTTCAAAATTTTACTACAGTAAGTGCCCTCATGTTTGAGCAGGAGGGCAAGCGTTTCAGGGCTATTTGTTGACAGCTCTCCGCCATACCAATTTTTTACAAGGTCTCCTCATTTGGTGTAGGCATAAACATACTTAAGTTTTGCAGATAAGACACTTTCACACATTTGCACAATGTGTGAAAGTGTCTTATCTGAAGCATCAAAAAATCCTGCAGGCGCCCATGCCACCCCTTATATACTGGCCCTGAGTATACTCAGGGCCAGTATATAAGGAGTGGCATGTGCGCATGCATGTGCAAAAAATAGGTTGCCTATTTTTTGAGTCAACAAAAAACAGGTTTTTACAGTGCAATGGCTAATAGGTCGGAGACCCCCCTCCCCTCATAATAAAAAAACGTGTCATTAGAGTTTCAAAATCTTCCAAATTTTACCGCTAGGTTTTGCTAAAATAAAATAGCAAAAGGGCATAAAATTTGCTGCTCCCCCACAACACCCTTTCCCCTCTAATTATATGGTTTGGGTAACTTACACTTGGCACTGGGTTTTAAGCTTTGTTTTCAATATTACTCTTCTTGTGTGACTCACTTTTTACGAACTTATTAAAGAAGGGTGCCTGAAAAAAACGACTGCCTAAAATATATTGTATTTTTATTTGATGCGTCTCATTAAACTGAAAAAGTAAAATAGGACTTTACTGGGAATCGAACTCGAATCTCTGCTGTCACCTGCCCATAACATCATCCACTCAGCCAAGCGATCTCTTCAATATTGCAAGATTTAATTATATTTAAATTTATATTTGTATGTATTTACTGATGTTTTTAAATTGGAATCTTTTGCCGCTAACAAAAGGCTTTGGGGTCGTATAAATACTTTATAAGTTTATAGAATTTATTCAGAATTTTTGGCATATGTACTTTATGGACGACCCTTAATCTATAATAATTATAGCAATATTTATAGCAAAAAAATAATAATATGACAAAAAAGTTTTCTAACTGTCAAAATAAAATTCAAAAGTTTTCTCATTTTTATAGGTTTATTATGCACAATTGTTCCATAAACTGCCTGCAAACTCAACATACGCTCAAAACGTTTACACTTACAGATGTTTGTACGCATTTTATAGTTTATAGTTTAAACTATAAAACGCTAAAGGATTGCCTATAAATTAAGCTACGCTAAATTAGTATTAAAAAAAATAAGGAGATCTTAAGTTCTTTTAGGTGGCAATTTTCATAAATTTAATGAGCTGTTTTGATTTATTTAACTTATCACTCTGTGAGAAAACTTTTGATTATTTTTGTTTTGTTTATTAGTGAAATTTAGCGTTGCCTAATTTATAGACGATACCTAATATAAAAGTTAAGCCAAAAAATAATGGAGTGTAATACTATTTTGATGATTATCTAAATTCTGTTCTTGTTGCATACTCGATTTAGAATGTTTAACAGGAGCGTGGTAATATAACTGTGAAACTCTAAATGTCCTTATTATATCAATGTTAAATAATTCAAACTTTCAATTATTTTTTAAAAACAATAAATTTAATAAAATGATTTAATTTAAATATAAAATTAGAATTTTCAATTATGTTCTTATTAAAAACATACTTTTTAAACCCCCCTATTTTTTTATAAAAAGTTAAGGTCGCCACATGGCAAGTTCAAATCATCAACTTGCTTTTTTTTTTTTTCCTGTTATTTAAAATGCAAAACAAAACAACATTATAGTTCCATAGATTTTATATTCTATATATAAACATGTTGTATATTCATTTTCCTGGCACAAACTCAACATAGTTGTTAAAAAACTTGAAATGTTAAACTAAAATAACACAAACATCTTAATCATGATACATACACAAATTTCACCCCATTTTTGTAATAGATTATAATAATAAGTTATAATAGATTATATTTTTTATGCTGTTAATTATTTTTAAGACATTTTTATGCTGTAAAATGAAATGTTATGTCACATAAAATTTTATAAGTAATTATAATTATGTTCAATAAAAAAAACTCTTTATATGTTTTGAATTAGAAACTAATAATCAATATTTAATGTCTAATAGATACATTTATATTGATTTAATATCCAGAAACACACAACATGGTCAAAAAAGTATTCAAAGAATTCAGCACCAGTGTACAAGTTGATAAAAATTCTTTATTGTTTTATTTTCTGCATGGTAAAAAAAATCAATATGAAAAATGTAAAAAATGCAAAAAAGAGATAAAATTAGATGGTGGGAGTACTGATTGTTGACACAAATTGACTTTGTTTTAAAATAACCTATCAAACGCAGCAATAGATAATAAACAAACTTATTTGATCAAAGTAATAACACTATAAAAATAAACAAAAACTACTTTGAAACATCAACCTTAGTAAAATTTTTGCATGTCAAATCGCCTAAAGGATTTTTTTTTTCACTCTGAACAAAATAAGATAAATCATTAGTTTCAAAAAGGCAAAACAATGCCAGAATTATATATTTTTACAATACACTAGTTACACTTTATAATTTTAATTATTTAAAAAATATATATATTTATAAATTAATATATCATATAAAAGATAAATTATTTAAAGTAATGTGTATTCAAATTTAACACCCAAATTGATCAAAATGATAATGTAACCAATGATAAGAAAGAAGACTTTTTCGAAAGGTCTTGTGAGGAGTGAAAGGATGACTCTATTTTGGGCATATCACGGCTATTTTATTTTAGTTACCACTTTAAAGCAACTGAATTTAGTCAAAAAATTATTGAAAATCAAGGTTTTTATGGTGTAAATATACACAGCAGATGAATTCAATAAAGCCCTTTTACTAATGCTGGAACATATCATAGAATTGATAATTTGCTGATTGATCCAAAATTTAAATAACTGATAAGGAGTTCTATACAATTTCAATTGTTGTACGATGTTTTATGCCTGTGAAATTGGCAGTGGAAGCAGCACTGTTGTCAGCCGATACCACATTGTTCATGATAAATAACTTTAGAGATTTGTATTTAGCTGTTAAATTGAAAACTAAGTTTGTGCAATAGATGAATGAGCAACAAAAAATATTTTCTAGCTTGCTTCACTATCTGCTCAAGGGACATCATTAATACAAGAGTTTAAATCCAACGGTGTCTTTTGAGCATCTTAGCAAATCAGCAAGTCAAGTGAAAGTCATTGTTTATAGGACCAGTTCAAATATAATATTATTTCATACAAGGGCGTATAAGATATTTTTATGTAGAGAGTGGAATCAGGAGTAATAAAAAGTGAGCATTGTAAAGTGGGGCATACATTACAGAAGCTAATGTTTCAATAGATTAGGTATTTGTTTTTTATTAGAGGATGGAACCTTGTAGTACCCCAAAGGTTACTGGAAATTAAGGAGAGTGTTAAAGATAAATTAAAAACTGCAATTAGAATGGAATGAATCAATAGTTTTAAAAACTTCAATAGATACACCATATCTAACACCATATATCTTTTCCCAGACACAGCATATCTGAAGAAAGATCATGGAGAAGATATCTTTTTATTCCATAACATTTCTTTTCCCAGACAAATCATATCTAAAAAGAGCTTATGGAGATCAGCATGTAGGTTTTATTGAAAGTTTTTGATATGTTAAGAGCAATAACCATTGCTGCATTACTTTCATCATTGCTTCACTAACTCATATTGTTGCTTTCATATAACAAATCAGAAGTAGAATAATAGGAGCAAATATCAGACAAAAAAAAATTAAAAATTAAATTTAAAATTACGGAATTTCTGAAGTATTTGTAAATAAATGAACTTCAGATTATCAAACTAAGATTGTTGTCTCTGTTGTCTATCAAACTAAAATTGTTGTCTCTGTTGTCTATCAAACTAAGATTGTTGCTATTTTGATTTTAATATAACCTCTTTTTTTAATTCTTTTTAATTCTTTCGAAAAAAGTTAATTTAAATTTTAGATTCTATTTTAAATCTAGATTTAAATGAAAGAAGATTTTTTTATGGTGTCATATTTCTTTTTTTTTCTTTAAATTTCAATATTTTGTATAATTTTGTGTATATCTCTGTTATTTTTATTTTGTGTATTTTCTCCTATATTTTGTGCATATCATTGCTATTTTATTTTAGTTACCACTTTAAAGCAACTGAATTTAATCCAAAAATTATTGAAAAGGGAGGTTTTTATGGAGTAAAGCAAATACCTGAAGCTCATACTACTAAGCCAAAACCTTTTAATTTTTTAATTGAAAATCGCATCGAACAGCGAAAACAAAAAGAAGAACCGTTACCACCAACTAACAAGGTATAACATTATTTTAAAGTATGCAAATAATATTATATTTTCAAAAACTTAAGTTTATACCAAGTACAAAGGTACATATTTTTTTTTTTTTTAAATTTAAGATTGATCTAGTTAATGTTTAGTCTGACCTACCAATTTTTTTTTTAATCTTAAGTTATTTGATCTTTTTAATGTTTACCCTGACCAAGGAGTTCTTTTTTTAATCTAAAAAAATAATAGAGTTTTAGTAAAGTTCAAGTAACAGCATTAATCTTTCAATTGATATGTTTGCAGAAAACAAAGCAAATATCAGTGTATCAACTTGTAAAAAAAATTATGTGATTTATGGATTAACGCTACTAACAAGGTTGCACTAAAATTGTAGCTTTGATGGGTAGATAACACAAAGAATTAAATTATGTGCATGCTGTAAAGTTAAGGCTTAATTTTTTTGTTGTTATTGAAAACTAAATATGCACGCAACATTTTAAAATGTTGCAATTGATTTTTGAGAAAATTTAAAATTGTCCAACTGATCATAGTGATGATTAAAATTAAAAATAAAAAAATTCTAATTTTAAATTTCATTATTGTCAAAAGTGACTTTATAGCGGAAATACATTGCATCAAGAAGTGATTTTGAAGTGCATCCATCCTTTTTTTTGAGCTGTGTCCACTCATATTTTAGTTTCCATCCATTTACATGTTAGTGTAAACACTTTTAATTTTTTTGAAACCATTGATCTATTTTTTTGTCTAATATCTAAAGTTTGTTTTTTATATTAAATTAATAAAACATGTTAGTTTAACAAAATCTTAGATCAGTTTTAATTTTTTGAATCTTTAATTTTTTATATTCTGTTAGCATTGTTTTTGTTTTGCTTTTATAGGCTCATCCAAAAAGTAATACATCCATTGGGAAAACAGAAAGACCAAAAAACACAGAGCCTGAGCCATTCTCCTTTGAAAATAGAGATAAAGAAAGATATTTAAAAAAAGAGGAGAAAATTAAGGAGATTATTGAAGATGAAGAAAAAGTAATGATTTGGCATTAGGCTTTTAATATTATATATTTTAATAATCACCTTTTATAGTATTGTTTTGTTGTCAATCTTTTTTTTTTTAGATGCACGAATTTCATGCGCGACCGTTACCATCATTTTCTCCTGACAGTCTACCCCCTGTTCAGCCAAAAGAGCCGACTCATCCAATACCTTTTAAGATTTCAACTGGCTCCTCATCGTATCAGCAAAAATTGCAAGAAAAGGTATTTTTTCTATTTCAAATTATTTTTTTGAAATTTAATATATTGAATATACAATCACGATAAACATCAATCTTTCTGAAATGAAAAATTATTATGATAATCATTTTAAATTTGTCACTGGTGTTTTCAAGGGTGTGGAGTCGTAAAAAAAAAGTTACGACTCCGTCTCCAGTTGTTGAAATTTTTTGAGCACAACTCCAACTCCGAAGCAAAATTTTTGAAAAATTCTTTAAATTCTTTAAAAAATATTGTGCGATAAGTTAAAAATTTCTTTTTTGAAAAATTTATGAAACGTTCTTTGAGGTTTAGTATTAACATAAGGTTAATAGAATGTTTTGTACATGCACGTGCAATACCGAGAAGTTTACTATTGGAGTTACGGTCGGAGTTACGACATTTTTAGCGGAGTCGGAGTCGCTAAACAAAATCGCGACTCCGACTCCACTGCCCTGGGTGTTATATTTGTTTTATTAATGACATTTTTATGTCGCAACTTGTATATATATTCAACGATGATTGTTATACTTTTTTAAATAAATTTTTTATTCTTCTTTTAAGCGGCATAAAGAAATTGAAATAGAAAAATTAAATCGAGAATTTAAAGCAAAGCCAGCCGATGTTATTAATAAAGCTCCTTTTAAGCCTTTAACAGGATTAATTCCACCTACAGAAATAACTGATTTTACTTTGAACTCTGATATTCGCGCTAAAGAGCGCCAAAAATACGAGGAGTGGAAGCACGAGCAAGAATTAAAAACAGAGGAAGAAAAGAAACGAATTGAAAAGGAAAAAGCACTTGAAGTTGAACGTGAAATTAAAGCAATGCGTGAAGAGGCAGTCGTTAAAGCTAATCCTGTTAGAACTTATAAGCCTGTTATTATTGAACATAGTTCCAAGCAACTCACTGAACCGCAAACACCTAATTTACAGACTAAAAAACGCGCTATGCGACTATAGTTGAATATAATTTAGTAAACGCGCTTATTGTAGTTTATTATGTAAATAAATTATTTATAATATTTTTGGGTGGCAATTTTCATAATGGTTCTTTTTCTATATGGGTCTGTTTACCCTATTCAAAAAGAAGGAAAAAAATAGAGTTCTTATGTGTATATTATAAGAAAATTATTTTACTTTTTGTAATAATGGTTTTAAAAACTTTCAATCATTTTTTTTTAAGAATCTTGAAAGCGGAAGGAGTTATTTTATCATAATTTTATGTCTTATAGTAGCAATATATTCAATTAAATATTATTTTTATTGACGCATTGTTAGCGTATTAAGGTTTGTAACATTAATTATGATTATTCAATAACATCACGCACTTTCAAAACAATTTTATACGAGAAACAAAATTTGATGGATAAAATAATCGCCTTTATATTAGACAAAAGTTCTTACTTATGAATTGAATCCCTTTCCTCATTATTTGCACATTATTTTGCTTCAACATTGATAGCTAAATCTACTATTTAAAAATACGTATTTGATACTTATAATATTGTATTCGCGCAGTTAGTTATTGTAGAAAAGCAAGTTAAAACTTATGTCCCCATTATTTGTTTTAAAATGATTGAGTATCAATTTAAAATAACTAGCGCAAATGGTTGGTGTTTAAGAACTATTTGATTTCTTGTCTTGATAGATATAGCTGTTATTCTGAAAACGAGTTTGTTGCTGCATTTAATTGAAATTTTCAAATATAAATTCAAATAAGTTGTATTTATACTACGCTTTTGAAGAAATTCACAATTGATACCTAACATAAAAGATTTATTACATGGATTGATAAATATCATGATGAATATAGCATAATGAATTGAAGATTATAGTAACAATGAATATGATAGTGAAAAAAAATTTAATATATTTAAATGACTTAAAAAATGGTATTCTTTATTACTAAGAATCAAGTATTGTGAGAAGTTCAGACGAAATTGTGTTTCAACTTTAACAAACATTGTTAAAGTTAAAATCATATTCAGATGGCGTAAAAAAGATTCACATAAAATAAAAACAGTTTCTTGGACAAGATTATCTACCACCACCTGATCCCATTCTTACGCCATACTAATATTTCAAAGAGATGTTTGGTAGTAATATTACAGAAATAATTTTTTAAAGTACTGATATTTTCAGTCTCCAACAGAGAATGTATAGCCAATATATAGCTAACACCATCCTGACATGAATAATATATTGGTGTTCTTGCAATGATGTAAGTTACGAAACTGCCACACCAGCGAATGGTCCAAAGAGTTTCAAAAAAAAGAAGTTGGGTTTTTTCATTTCAAAAATGAAAAAACCCAACTTCTTTTTTTGTTTGTTTTCAAAACAAACAAAAAAAAGAAGTTGGGTTTTTTCATTTTTGTACCTAAATGCTTTAGCAACTAAGTAAAACATAAAAATTTATTATTTTATACAATTCCTAACAAAGAAAATATTGAAGAATAAAAAAAATATTAATTTCTTATAACAATTTTTATATACTTTAACGTCCTTTCAAACATTTTTTTAATCATAAACTGAAAATAGAATGTATTTAAACAAGGTAAAATCTTACTGAACTAGTTTTCATTTTCAAATTTAATTAATTGCACAAAAAATTTCTTCATTTTTGTAAAGAACAAAGTCAATTTTGTTTTTTCTGTAAAAGCTTTGATACCTTGACATTGGTAAAATTAACTGTTTGATGTTTAGTTTTTTTTTTTTCTATTACTATATCCATATAAAAAGTTGTATAAGTATAAGCTTTATGTACACAAAGATTTCTTTTTAAAATAGAGCACTTTACTTCAATTATTTTGCAGCTGGTTTAGTTAATACACAACCTATCAGGGCTAGAATCAGCCATGGCATTTAGTATATATAACAAGATCACGTTTTTAAGTATCACAGCTAACTTTTACTTTAAACTTTTCATGAGCAATATCTTCATTTTCAATACTCCACTAACAAGCTTGTGATTATAAACAACTATCACAGTTTCTTATAAGCTTTTTTAACAATGAATTTGTAGGAGTATTATTTCTACATTTATAACTGTACCAAAACTTTATGCAGTTAGGTTTTTATTTTGTTTTTCAATCCATTTTTGTTTTTGTATTGATTTTTAGTTTCTGATTTAATTTAAATTACTTTCTTAAAATTGTTTAACATTATGGCAAGCTTTAGTTTTCCTCAGTCAAATTAATTTTAATTAATTTGACTGAGTTTTTTAACAGTGCAGAAATTTTTCTACACTGTTAAGGAAACTTTTAAACATTTTTTCATTTGCTCGTTACTAAATATTTCACAAAATGATTTTGGGCGAATTTAATTTTAATAAATAACACAGCCATTGGTTTAATTCTATATAACAAAAAATTTTGTTCAACTCTAATTTATTTTACATTGTCTTTGTGTAACTGATAACCAGCTATTTTATGTTTAGAAGCTCTTCTTTAAAAATATAGTCTGATACTATATAAGTAAATATATGTTAATGTGTTATCGGAAACAGATATGTTGTCTTTTGGCCATTAAATTACATTTTTAGAAATTATTTTGTTTTCGTTTCTGTTAAATTACTTGTTTGTGATTATACAAAATGTTGCATTAATTGGAATGCTAAGGGCTTTTTAAAAAGCTAGATTCAGCAGAAATATTTATAGAGTTAATTATATATTATTTTTCTTATTTATACTTGTAAAATATACTTCAAACAAGCTTCTCCAACAAAATTAAACTAGAACTGCGTTAAATTATTTGTTTATATTACAATGCAGTTATTCTCCTGCGGTGGTAATAAGATTTATAAAAGATTTTGCCTTAAATGTAATTAATTATAAGAGAGAAAACTATTATCTATGTACGAGCAAGCCACGAAATAATGAAAAATTTAAAAAACTATGAACCGCGAGTTTTTGATTTTTCTGTATGTACAAATACCATAATGCATTGCTTTATGGGGAAATGTCAAATGAGAATGTTAAAAAATTGCAAGAAAACCCCACAAGAAGAAAATCACTCTATTGATGAACAAATTTTACCGACTAAAGGTCGATTATCGTTAAAGCAGTACCTTCCAAATAAACCAAATAAAAGGAGGACGGTGGGGGTGGATAAACGTTTGGGCAAGATGTGGCATTTCTGAAATAGTGTATGGTTTTGATGTATATTGCGGAGAAAACAATACTAGAGTTGATGAGCTTCCTAAAAATTCCGTTGTAAATATTAAGATGTAAATATACATTTTTATAATTAGAAAAAAATAAAGCTCGCAGTTGGCCAAAAATATATAATACTCATGGGTGGAAATTTATGCAATCAATGTTTACCTTATGTAAAAACATCAGCAGATTTTTTTTGAAATATTACATTATAATTGTTGCATGAGTTGGTTCAAATGGTTCAAAAATCAAAACAATTTTGGACAGATATCGGAAGTAGGGCAAACAGGATCCCGGTAATAAAAAATCATCCCTTTATCCCGGGATTTCAATGAAGTTGCCCCGAAATCCTGGTAATTTTTTTTTGCATTTTTATTACCATTTTCAAAGATATTAAAAATATTATCACTCGAAGATAGTGATATCTCAAAGTTATCTAATTATAGACCTATTTCAATACTGTGTTTTTCTAAAATTCTAGAGCGAATAGGCGAACAACTATCTTACAACTCGTAAAGTTCTAAATAATAATCAGAACGGATTTAAAAAAAGGCATTCGGCAGAACATGCAGTAATTAATTAGTTAAAGAAATATTAAATGGGTTTAAAAACAACCAATATACTTTTGGAATGTTTATTGACCTCTCATAAGCCTTTCATACTGTGGATATTCTTCTGTACAAACTTAAAAGTTATGAAGTCAAAAATAATAATTTTAAATGGAATTTTTCCTACATTAAAAATTGCAATCAAGGTGTATCTTATGACATAACCTACACTAAATTAAAAACTGTACCTGCGGAGTACCACAGGGATCTATTCTAGGGCTTTTATTGTTTATTTATATCAACGATATTTACTTATTTTCTAGTATACTAAACTTCAATCTTTTTGCTGACAACACTCAAGTTTTTTATGCCCATTCTAATATTAAGACAATCTTACCGCTATGAATCATTTAAAGAATAAATGATTTAAAGCCAACAAACTCTTTCTGAACCCTACCAAAAGCAAATATACTCTCTTTTCTAAATCTTTTAAATCTGACACGTTGCACTTATATTTCAATAGGAAAAACTAAGTTGCAACGGACATTCTGTGTGAAAATCTTAAACATTTTAATCGATGAGCAAATAATTTGGCAAAAGAATATCAATCTAATAGAAAATAAAATTTCAAAATGTTCTAGAATTATTTATAAAACAAGATATGTGTTGGATAAAAACTGTTTAAAGTCTATTCATAGCTATTTAATATTCATAGCTATATAAAATATTGTAACATTGCCTGGGCAAGCACATATCTGTCAAGACTAACGTGTATCTTAATAAAACAAAAGCCTTAAAAAAGCAACCATGCCGCCATACATTAAATGCTAATAAATACACCAGTACCAATCCACTGCTTAGAAAGCTTGAAGTGTTGAATGTTTATCAATTAAATATTTATAATATTACTTTATTCATGCTTAGATTAAAATATCATACGCTGCCTAATAATAAGACCTTTTATTATAGATCATAAATATCAAACAAAGCATTAGTTGCTTAATTATCAAGTACCAATTACCAAAAATTTTGTTAAAACAATCCGAATTCTCCAAATTCCCAACGACAACATTCAGTAACGGATTCAGGATTTTTTTGGTGATTGAGGTTGCTAACTTCAAAACATGGAGCACACACACGCACACTCACACACACACTCATACACACACACACACACATACACACACACACACACACACACACACACACACACACACACACACACACATATACCAAGCGTGAGGGCCAACAAAATTAATAAAAAAAAAATTGTACTTTTATCAATTAGACTTATATTCGTCGATAAATTTCAAGTTTCATAGTATTATCTCTCA